GCCTTGAAAGGTCCCTTCCAACCTGAATCATTTCATGATTCTGTGATAACCCTGAGGAAACAGCCATCTGCCCTGTCACCCTTGGATGGCAGCTGTAGGATGCCAAGGCCAATACCACCCAGAAGGCTTTTAGATAAATAAATAGGGAATAGACTTCCAAGTGAGAAAGAAATGGTAGATAAGGCAGAGAAAGGCCTGTAGCTGATTTTTTGGCTTCTATTTATCTCAAAGATATGCAGGGAACATATCTGAAAGCATCCTGATTTATAAACCCTTAACTTGAGCCAGTCCTCTGATCCTCTGTGAAATTCAGCCACTCTTTTTCCTTCTCACAGGTATTGAATCTGGGAGCTGAGCAAGGACTGCTGGTCTCTTCAGATATTTTAGAGTCCAGATGACTGCATTTCCTTACAGAAACATCTGTACCCTCTGAGGTCCTCGAGGTTGGTTCAACAGCTGGCTGACAACACTGTCACTGCACAACAGATGAGTCAGGCAGGTTTGCCAGGGTGTTGGTAGCCCCCCATAGAATCGTTTAGGTTGGAAAAGACCTTTAAGGTTGTTGAGTCCAGCCATTAACCCAACTCTGCCAGGTCCACTCTGAAACCACATCCCTAAGCACCACATCTACATGACTTTTAAAACGTGTCCAGGGCTGGTGAATCTTCCCTGGGCAGCCTCTTCCAGGGCTTGACAACCCTTTCAGTAAAGAAATTTTTCCTAATATCCAACCTAAACCTTCTCTGGTGCAACTTGAGGCTGCTGGGGGTTTGAATCCTCCTGTTGGACTCAAGACCCACAGTGCTCCTGTCCTCTTCATCCATGGGCCTTGGTCTTTCCCTCTGCTCTTTGGGAAAGCAGTGCATCAGTAGCAAGTGTTATATGTGTGCCAGACTACATGGATTTAAGGCTCTTCCTAGATCTGGGCATGTTCCCCTACTGATTTTTTGGGTGAAAAGCAGCAGTCTTCTTCGTCTCTGCTCCACCATATTTGCTCAGAGAGTTTCAAGCCAGAAGCAGAGATGGGAGAGGCTTGTTGGAGCTGAGGAACATTGGCTGCCCAGTAACCCCTGCATGTTTCCACAGAAAGTGGAGTAAAAGCACCAGAAGGAGAGCTGCCTCCACCCCCAAAGGGAGGTAACTGCTGAATCCTAGAGATGCCCTTCTGCTTTTAAAGGTAGCCCTCTTATCTCTCTGAAGCTAGGACTGATTGCCAAGAGTGGGACAACATTAGGAATGGAGGAATTTGGTCATTGCTCTTGACTCCTTCTCTCCATGTGTCTTCTCAGCTGGCAACTGATGCATTAAACCATTCAAATTTCAAGCTGGTGACATTTTGTACTTATTTGCATTTCAGTCATTCAAAAATGATTGGTAGTTGAGCACAAGATTTTATAAAGTATCCTCATAGAGGAATAATTTCCTCCCTATGTCTTCTGCATCCACAAAGGCTTCTCCCATCCTTCACTTCTTCGAAACGCTGGTGGTTGAAAGAAAAGCAATTAAGTTAATCACTTCATTTGAAATGTTCCCCTCTATCCCATTCTCTTGCTCCACGATCTGGTTTTGTCACAGTGGAAAGATAAGCCCAACAGGACTCTGCTGAACAGTTCATTTAGAACCTATCACATATTTCTTTTTCATAGAGTCAGCTTAAAGCACGTTAATTAGCTGCAGGGCCCATCTATGCTTCAGGGTAGAAATCTCCCAGTTACAGTAATTGCTCAATTCCTCAAACTGAGAAAACAAAGAAACAGGGAAAGCGATTGAATGAATCGATGTAGATGGTTTGATGGTATTTAGGATCATGATTTTTTGAGGATGAGAGGGTTTTGATTGGGTGTGTGCATTCTCCTTGCCATGGGTGGAGTGTGGGGTGTAAGCTGGCAGGCAGCAGGGCATTCATTTTATTCCATTCCTGCAAACAGCACGTGTAAGAAAGCACAGAGATTCCCCAATTAACAAAAAGGCAGCTGAAGTGACATCCTTGTTTCATATTCCTAGTGCTGAATGTGGCTGAAATATTTAATCACATGCACAGTGTGTAGATATATATATAAAACTTTAAAGATATTACCCAATATTGTGAACAAAAAGCCTGAGTTGAAAACAAGTTCTTCACATTTCACCAAATAGCAAACCTGGGGAAGATCTACCTAAGCACAGCCTGCTTTATTAATTTAAATGTTTTTCCTCTTCAAGGCCATTTTTTTTTCTTTCCTGCAAAGAAATTCCCTTCTGGAAGGAAGTTGTGGTCACTTCCTATTGTGATCATAGCACTGGAAGGAGCAGAAGTGCTAGTCTGGAGGTAAGTCAGAGCAGCTGGGGTCATCACTGTTGTCATATAAGAGGTCTACAACCTCCTCCTGAAAAGAACTCACAGAATGGTGGGGGTTGGAAAGGACCTCTGGAGATGATCTAGTCCAACACGTTTGCTAAAGCGGGGTCGCCTACAGCAAACTCCTTCAGGACCATGTCCAGGTGGGTTTGGGATCTCTCCAGAGCAGGAGACTCCACAGCCTCTCTGGGCAGCTGCTCCAGGCTCTGCCACCCTCACAGGGAAGAAGCTCCTCACGTTTCCTTAAAAAAAACTGAGCTAAAAATTAAAGATTTTTCCATTTAATTTCTAGCCAAGAAACTACTTTTTAATGTCTCCAGAAGAGCCCTGAGTCAATGCTTTCTTCATTTCAGTGAGGTACCTTATACTAATTATATGGTTTGGGGTCAGCATTTATGCCTCCACTTTTCATATACATCTGAAGCTTGTTTTACTGATAATATTTAAATAGTGAGTCATCTCCAAAATCTTGACGATCTAATACCACGTTAGAGTGAAATCTTTTGTTAACTCTGCTAAACACTTGGTTATCCTGGCACATTTAACTTAGTTATTAAACAGAAAACAAGTTCAAGGGGGGGAAAAAAATGCATTTTTAATGAAAAATCCTCAGCTGAGGCTCAGCTTCCTCTCTTGAGCATTTCTTATTTGCTTAGTAGCAAACCTTGGAAGCCCATCAGAGCTTTCAGACTGGGCAGAAGTAGTCCTCATGAGTGGGTTTGTCCTACATGTCCTACAGAAACCCTCATGAGTGGGTTTGTCCTACATGCCCCAAGCACAATGATGGCTCTGACAGCTGGGCAGCTTTTCACTGGTTCTTCTGCATGAAGAAAATAGTATTAGAGGTTGAGCTATGATTGCTATCACAGTGAAGCAAGAAAAAAGGCTCCTGCCTTCCTGTATGTGGGCTGAGAAAACCCTCAGCCCTTCTTGAGCTACACAAAGGCTCTTTTTTTTTCTCCCCCCAACACTGGTTATCTATGCTACGGGTGCATGAAATGGCAAAGGAGAAAGGAGAAGTCCCAAAAAACAGGATAAAATGTAAGTATTTTAGTTTTATAAGTAAAGTAAAACTATAATCTGTTTCTGAGTAATATAAAATGTTGGCATCTAGGCTGTATTCTTGAGCTATACAAAGGCTCTTTTTTTTTTCCTCACACTGGTTATCTATGCTACGGGTGCATGAAATGGCAAAGGAGAAAGGAGAAGTCCCAAAAAACAGGATAAAATGTAAGTATTTTAGTTCTATAAGTAATGTAAAACTATAATCTGTTTCTGAGTAATATAAAATGTTGGCATCTAGGCTGTATTTATGCTGTTTTATAACAACAAAAAAAATATTGTACCTTCTTTGGGACAATATTCAGAGGAAAATTAATTTGTGTCAAGTGCAGAAAGCCTGGAAAACTTTTCCTGTAGCAAATTTGCTAGGAAAGCAAAATTTCTCCTGCCTGTCTCAGGAATATGAGGCTGCTATTCAATTTTAACTATTTAAATGCTTCCAAGATCATGCATTTTAAAAGGGAGCAACCAGAAAGGTTTATGCCAGTCCTGGACACAACACCACAAGGGTGTTCTGAAGATGCTTTGCCTGATGCTTCACAAATCAGAAGTTTTCTGAAAATGTTTTGCAGGTGCAGTGTACACGAGTGCAACAGAATTAAGAACTGCTGATTAAAGCAAGCTTACTGATTTCAAACCTCAAAGGAATCACAGAGAGAAGACACTGCTTATTTTAAGACACTATTTTTTCAGCTCTTACTTTGTTCCTTTGAAACTCTTTGTAAGGTAAGGACAGAAATGTGTTTGCAGCCCAACTGAATAGTCCACCTTGTGCTTTAAGTCTAAATAAGAATGCAGCTGTACATGGTGATGTTCAACGAGTGCCAATAGGATTATCTCTTTCAGAAGATTGTTCCTAAATTAAATTTCAGCTTTTTATCACCTTTCCTTGTAGAGGAGCTCAGGTGAAATTCTGCAGCAAAAAAGATTTTGAGCTGAAGCAAGAAGAAACAGAATTTTCATCTGCAGGGCTTTATTTTTAGTGTGCTTTATGCATCTAGAAACCAAAACTGCTGCTGCCTTAAGGGTGTCCTGCACCCATCCAGCAAGATGTTAAAAAGGTGGCTCAGGTGTCTTCATAAATACCCATAAATCAGTATTACAACCTCTTCACAGCTTAGTTTTTTTCCCCCCTTCAATTTTAGCTTTATAACGAGTGCAGACTAAGCTTGTATAATTCACACACAGTGTCTTGGTTATTTCAAATAACTGAGTCTAGAAGCTGAATCTCGAGGCAAATAATTGAAAGAAAAATCCTGGAATGTAGTTTAGTAAATTAAAACCTCATTTATGAAGGTATCAAATGTGGTTTTAACACTGAGAGGCTATTGTTGTCACATACAATAACCCATGTTATTGGTTCTACATATACAGTATGACAACAGTTATGAGCTTATTTACTACATGGGCTACACAACCTCAAACCCAACTCAACAAAACGTCCCTTCATGAATCTGTGACATTTCAGAGTTAAAGAAAACATGTCTAGTTTAAAACTACCCCTTTTTCTCCTTCCAGTGACCTTTGAAAGAGGAGGATGCCCAACAGCAGCATAACCCAGCAGAACCACTCCTCTGAGATGCTGCCAGACACCTCGGAGGGCCTCCAGGTGGTTCTCATAGCCCTGTACACCATCAACCTGGCTGGGGGCACCCTCGGAGTCATCCTGATGTCCTATCAGTTGTTCCAAAGGAGAACACGATCTGTGATGACCGTCATGATCATCAGCCTCTTGGTGCTGCACACCTTCATGCTCCTCAGCATCCCCTTCCGCCTCAGCTACTACATTTTAAAGCAGTGGAAATTTGGGATGTTCGCCTGCAAGCTAGCCAGTGCCATCATCTACCTCCACATGTACAGCACCTTTGCATTTTACGTGGCCATCATCCTGCTACGCCTCTTCCCACTGGAGTTTAGGAGGTGCTACACCCAGCTCTGGGTGGCTGCTGTCTGGTTGGTGGGAGTGCTGGTGGTCACACCCCTTCTTCTCTCCTACTACGGCACCTCTAGCACCTATCACTCCTCCCAGTGCTTCCAGTTCCACAAGGAGATGAGGAAGACGCCCATGGTGATCATAAACTACTGCTTGGTTGGGATTTTGGTGGTGGTTTGTGCCCTGCTCACCGTGATCCAGTTATCTGTCATCTGTAGACTGGCTGTGAAGTACTGGCCCGACATCAACTCCCACGTGGAATTCAGGGCTCAGGCAAAGAGTTTCTTCTTCATCTTGGTGACATTAGTCTGCTTCATGCCTCATCACGTGTTCCGAGCGTATTACATCCAAAACAGGCACCTGGGTGAAGACCAGAAACTACTCTCATACAATGAGATTTTTTTGGCTTTAACATCCATGTGCTGCTTGGATATGTTGTGCTTCATAGCAGGAATAGCCCACTGAACTCTGAGCTACCAGGGAACCCAGCTGGGGCGTGTCAATACTGACTTTTGGCAGCAATAAAACTCTGCTGGGACTTTGCTGAGGTCAGACACACGAGTCTTACTTTAGTCTTTGACCTAAGAGTCGTGCCTTGAAGCTTCATTAAGATTTTCCTCTGCTGTCCCTCTCTAACAATTAGTAACCATTCCTTTCTAGTTCTCCCTCAAAGTGTCTCAGTAACAACCTGCTGTGTCCACTAAGCTGCCCACTTTGAAGGTCCAACACCTTCTTCTGGCAACTGTGACACTGAAGGGAAGAGAGAGAACAAAAAGTCCTTTATAGGATTTTTGATCTAGTGATTTTAGACAGCAAGGACATCACTCTGCTCAAATAAAAAGTATTCCAGGCATGAAACAGGGGATGAATGAAGTGTTGTAGTAGCATACTTCAGCAGAATCCTTCTTTTCTTCACTTATACAAAGTATATATTAAATTAAATGATATGAAAACACTCATTCTCACAACTCCACCTTTACTTGCTCCGTTCCAAAACCACAAGCAGCTCACTGAACTGTTGGTAATTACACATTTAGAGAGAGAGCAGAACAGCCCACAGGCTTCAAAACTTGGGCCTCACTCTTCTGCCAGGACTGGATCTGTGGCTCTGATCCCTTAGGTCCATTGCAGCCAAAGAAATACAAGTTACTGAGGTCCCATAACTGGATCTGGAATTCAAATCAAGGGCTCTGCTCCTTTGCTGAAGAATCAGCTGCTCTCTAGGACATGGAAATATTTTATTAGCCTTCAAAAAAAGCCTTTGATGTCTGGTCACTTTCAGTTGCCTGTTGATTTATTATCAGATAGCATCTTTTTTCCATTTGCACGTGTAACAAAGCAAAACTAGAATAAACTAACTGAGCTGGGTTTAATCTGTTCAACATCTGCTCCTGTATATTCCTACAAACTCCTGCTGGAGGGTGTATTTTCTCCATTAGAGGCATTATATTCCTTGGGAACCACATTCCCTTCTGGGAGCCTCTGGTGTATCTTCACCATGTAAAAGGTTTTTCAGGACTGCATTCTCTCTGTTCTGCTCACCACAGAAGGTTTCTAACCCCTCTGCTGAAAGCCCCCCTGGCATTTGCTGCATCCTAACAGCTTGAGGCCAGATTTCTCCTACCCCAGGCTCCCAGGAGTCACACAAAGGTAAGCTTCCTCCTTCAGAGCCCCAGAAGTTGCCAGAATTTTTAGTCTGGCACTTTTTGCTCCAGTAGGGTTGTGATCCCTGGCTTCAAACAAGTCAAAACTTCATTTTGGGAGGGTTAAAAGGTTACACCTATAAAGTAAAGCTGGTGATGCCTCAGACTGATGGCATTTCTTTGAACAAAACATCTTGCATCTACTTTGTCCATCCTGAATAAATGCTGCTTCTTTAGATTTCCACTAAAATCTCAGTGGAAAACTCCCAATAGTTGCAGGTGCTTTTAAAAACTAGGTGTCCAGAAGACCAGCAGCAAATCCTGATGCCTTCTGAAAATCCTGCCCTCCTTCAGCCTTCCTTACAGCTTGCACAACACCAAAACTCTTTTCCACTTTCCCCCACAGTAAGTAGGCTGGAGGGAGGGGACACAGAGGGGACAACTCCCCCAAACTGGCCAAAGGGATCTTCCATACCATAGGACATGGTGCTCAGCAGTGCAAACTGAGTGTGAAGAAGAAGAAGAAGGGAGGGGTTGGTGGTGGTTGCTCAGACACTGGCTGGACATCAATCTGCTTGTGAGAGATGAGTGATTTCCTGCTTGTGGTTTGCTTTTTTTCTCTCTTTCCTTCACCAGTTGAACTCAACTTGTGAATTTTGCTTTTGTTCTTTCTGTTCTCTACCACATCCTGCTGGGGGTGAAGGGGCAGAGAGAGCAGTGGTGGGGGTGTCCACCTGCTGGCTGGGCTCAGCCCATCACACATCCTTTGTTGGCCAGACCTCAGAAAATTTGGGGTAGCTGAAGTCTGCATCTGTGGTGGTTCTTCCTCACAGCCACAGCCAAACAACCTTTATTATTAACCATTGCAAGGAGGGAAAGCACAGAAAGGGAAATGCAGCTTATGCTCCAGCTTCTTCTCACAGCCAGTAAAAACTACACCACTTTTTGCACCAAGGCTTCAGGTAGAACTTCATTCTAGTGCTTGCTGTAAATCATCCCTCATCCCCATTCCTTCTTCCATCCACTAGTCACCTTCTTTAACCCTACCCATGAACCACAACTCATCTCTGCCTCTCTGCCTTTACCACTGATTTATCTTTCCTGGATTTTGATCCAAGTTCCTTTTTATTTTTCTTTTTTTTTATGCTTGACAGTTTTCTCTGCATCTTCTCTCACTGACTGGTGCTCGGTCATGTGAGTTCAGACCACTTAGTGCTCTCAGTATGGTTCCCTTAATCCAGAGGATAATTGATTGAGCATTGATCCCAGTGTTGTTACATCTAAGACTCACATTAAAGTGATAGATATAAGCTTTATCCAATACCCAGTTCACCACTGAGATCTGGAAACACTCTGAAAACAGGTTCTAATAGAAAGTTATCACTCTCTGGGAGGATAATGGGAGAAGTAAATTCTGAAAGGACAATAATATTGAGCTCAGATTGTAGGGTACTATTCTTGCTATGAATTATGTAATGACACATCCCCTGGAAAACAGTTTAAAAAGATTGGTTCTAATGCCATTTGCATGATCCAAATAATTCTGGAGATAATTATACACATTAGTAATTGCTTTCCCGTTAACTAAATATGTACAATTGTAAACCATTTAGTCATCCCATTCATTTTTAATGCCATCAAATGAACACTGGGAAAATCCCCAGACATTTGGAAGGAAAAAAATATCAAACTGCTAAATGTATCTTCCCTTGTTCTCTGCGTGAAGTTCTGCATAAAAAGAGCAGGCAAGCAAAACAGACCCAAAATCCCATTTGTACACCTGATTTCCTACATCAGTTTGGTAACAGAAAGCTACAGGCAGAGGAGGGGGATTGTCACCATCAAAAACTGGGGTGCTCACTGCTGTCACAACCGTAGGGCTACTGCAGGTTGACTATTTCTACCCTTTTAAATGATGCTGAGGGTGATGTGCACCCACTCACAGGCAAACAGCACAAGGGATATATATAATTTTCTCATCTCCTATCTGCTAATATCCAGAATAGCAAGGCTTAAATGGAATAAAAGTCTTCATCTCCTTCTGATGCATTTCTTTAGACTCCACAGCTTCTACCTGGACTCTTGGAAGGGTTCCTGTTTTCATCCATCCAGTGTACTCCCAACCAATCTCTGGAATTCCTCTCCAAAAGTATGTGAACTCCTCAGTGAAGACATTCATTATGCACTTGGTGAAATCAGTTTCTTGGTAGTTTTGTTCTTCCTTGAGCTTCTTAAGTGTCTCTCCCCACTTCAGACTCTCAAGCACCTCTCTTATGTCCCAGTGAACATCACTTGTGAAGCACCAGACTTGCACGTGGCAAAAAATGGGCAAGTTTAGCTCCAGATGAAGGATTTTCCCCTCTGCCAAGGAAAGATGTGATGGTTTTTCTCAGTGCTCTGCTTGGCAGAAGAATCATACACTAAATAAATCCATCTCCTGTCAGTACACCACTGATGTTCACTCAAAGATGTCACAAACAATCCTCCAACCACGTCTTTTAACAAAGCCTTTTCCTATAGTAATTCTTCCTCTTTTATCTTCACATCCTCACTCTGTGGAAACCCCCCAAAAAATTTTGCAGTATGAAACCCAGTGGATTCGTGAGGAAAGGCTCTCTGCTGGGAAAAAAATCTCCCCTTCCCAAAATTATAAAAGCAATGGGAACAAAGGGGAATCTTCACAAGCTCCACTCTATTTTGTCCCTGCATTGTTACACCAGCCTCCTTTCCCAAAACATTATGTTCATGTTATTAACCTGGTTAGGTTAATAATATTTTTATCCATAAAATGGCACTTTTCTTAGCAATGGGAGCACAGGGGAATCTTCACAAGCTCCACTCTGTTTTGTCCCTGGCATTGTCACACCAGCCTCCTTTCCCAAAACTTTATGTTCATGTTATTAACCTGGTTAGGTTAATAATATTTTTATCCATAAAATGGCACTTTTCTTACATACTAGTCATCTTTCTTTCTAATCCCCAGAACTCTTCAGAACAGAGATATATTTTCAGACAAATGGCTCTTGAAAACTTCTTTTATCTCCAACTTTTCACTTCCCTTGAAATTTTTCCCTCTAACTCTCCCTGAGAAGAGGAACACCAGCAAAAGTTGTTACTGGATTAGCTACAGCTTTCAAATAATGGGTTCTTTTAAATGGGTTCTCACCACAAAACCACCTCACCTCAATACCCTGGAGTTCCATGTTGTACACAAGGGCATGGACACAGCCCTCTGATTCATTAGAATCTCTGTACCAAAGCAGGGTTGGGTTTTTTTTGGTGGAAATATCTCAATATTGATGGTGGCTTCCTCTGACAGCACACTCTGTACAGATATAAGAATTATCTATGAAATATCTCCTAACAGTTGTATCTGCATGTGAAGCATTAGAGCAAGATTAGAACCATGCAGAGGAAATGAAGGAGCTCTGAAGAATCTGCAAAACTGAGACAAACAACAAAATCTTAGATTTTATAAAAGAGAAACAGCTCAGCTGCAAAACTCAGGCCACTGCAAGTCAAGACAAAACGATGCAAGGGAGAATAGGAGAAGGAAATGTGTAACTCAACAATTTGCTTATTTATTATTTCAAATGACAAAGAAGAGAGTGTAAGAAAAATAGATAAAAAGACAAAGAAATAAAAGAGGCAGCTTCAAAAGATGCCTCTGAATTAAGCTAACAAAATTGGATGGGCCAAAGAAAAACCCCTGTTGCTGGTTTATAAACAGAGGTGGCTGAAACAAGCAGGAACACAGAGTAATGGTGAAGATAAAATGCTAGGGAAAAAAGAAAATCATATTTTAAGAGCCTCTTAGTAGAT